AAGAAAACGTGCCTGCCTCCTGTGAAAAGATGACGACACCCGAGGCAAAGTCAACAAAGTTCCTGTGATTCCCTTTAAATAAATAAGAAATCTTCACACAGAAGCAAGAAAGGAAAACGATGATAATCCACTGTCATCATTTTAGCAAGAATCCTTCTCTTCCGTTAAAGCAAACGCAAGATTTGCATAACTTGTTACAAAGCCAGTGTGTTGAAAATTCAATCTACTACAGTAATAAAAACAACTGTAACACACTAACATATAACTATACACTGAGTGGCCAAATTATTATGACTACCTGACGTTTGTAGGCAAATTAGCCATACACTGCATTGTATGGGATATGGAAGTCGAAGGCCTGTTCGAACACCTTTGCTGTCTGCAATTACCAAGAAAAAATATCTCAAATTCGCACAGGAACACAAGGATTGGACAGTCAAGCATTGGAAAAAAGTCATGTGGTCCGATGAATCCACGTTTCCAGTTGCATCATGCAGATGGCAGAGTGAGAATTTGGAGGAAACAGCATGAAAGCATGCACCCCACATGCATGAGTACAACCCTTCAAGCTGGTGGGGGCAGTGCTATGGTTTGGGGCATGTTTTCCTGGCATGATTTCGGCCCTTTAATTCGTGTGGAACAACTCCTGAATAGCACAACATGCCTAACTATGGTTGCTGATCAGGTTCATCCTATCATGTTGATGGCGTATCCCAATGGAGATGGCTTCTTCCAACAAGACAATGCGCCATGCCACTGTGCTCGTATTGTGCAGGAGTGGTTTCAAGAACATGAGGGAGACTTTACCTTGCTTAGGTCGCCCCCACAATCACCAGATCTCAATCCAATTGAGCATTTGTGGGACGAAGTTAAAAGAGCCATCAGGCAGCTGGTTCCACAACCATCAAATCTCACAGAACTGGACAGTGCTATTCATCAGGCATGGTGTCAGATTCCTCGCATCACCTTTCAACATCTCGTGGAGTCAGTACCAAGAAGAATCGCTGCAGTATTGAAGGCAAAAGGTGGCCCAATGAAGTACTGATGGGGTGGTCATAATAATCTGGCCACTCAGTGTGTGTATGTATATAGATAGACAGATAGACATAGATATGTATAAATATATAGATATATAGATATATAGATATATAGATATATAGATATATAGATATATAGATATATAGATATATAGATATATATCCCACGTTCAAAGGCTGTTAAAGTGCGTTGTTTACCCATATCTTCAGAAAAAAATCACTTCTACTGTTGTGGTAAACAACCTGCTTCCCTATTTATAATGGTCTGGCCCTCTAGCAACTTCAGCGTGAAATTATAGCTAATTTGCCTACAAACGTCAGGTGGTCATAATAATCTGGCCACTCAGTATATATCTCCCATAAATCTTAAGTCAAATAATCACTTTTCCCATGCAGTGTGACAGATGTCATCCTAAAACAGTTGCTATTATGTCCCCGTTGGCAAAAATGCAAATTTTAATGAGGTCAAAAACGAACATCCCATTTGTCTTCCTTTTCTTTTTTTTCTTTTTCTTTTTTAAATATATTTTATTGATTTTTTACAGAGAGGAAGGAAGAGGGATAGAGAGCCAGAAACATCAATGAGAGAGAAACATTGATCAGCTGCCTCCTGCTCACCCCCCAACTGGGGATGTGCCCACAACCAAGGTACATGCCCTTGACCGGAATCGAACCTGGGACCCTTGAGTCCGCAGGCCGACACTCCATCCACTGAGCCAAACTGGCTAGGGCTGTCTTCTTTTCTTTACAGGGCATTTTTTTTCCTTCCTCTCATTCTTTTCCTTTCACATCCTCCCTTCCGTGCAGCTGCCCAGCAGTCGCTGATGCTCCCAGCTCTGCACCTACCCCTCTAACACTGGGCTGAGTTCCCAAGACAGCTAACCAGCGTAGGCTGGTCAGCAGGCAAGCAGAGAACAACATGAAACGAATCATGCCCTTCCCTGAGGATAACGGAGGCCTGGAAGCCACTTTCCTGTTTTATTAGATTTGCTGCTCACAGGCATTGTATTACATTCAACTTTCACATACGGACTAAATACAGAAAAACACTTCCTTTTAAGAAAATGATTAAAGATTCTATAACACATCCTTTCCAGTGGTAGGTCTGCAAATGCTTTCTTGGGCGACTGTGACCACAAGGAAGCAGCGTTTGGTACCCTACGTGAATGTGGGAGTGGGTTACCGAAATGAGACTTCTTATCATAACGACTGGTCGACCAGTCACTATGACACGCACTGACCACCAGGGGGCAGATGCTTAACACAGGAGCTGCCCCTGGTGGTCAGTGCGCTTCCACAGGGGGACAACCGCTCAGCCAGAAGCCATGCTCACGGCTGGTGAGCGCAGCTGCGATGGCAGGAGCCTCTCCCGCCTCTGCGGCAGTGCTACCAAGCAGCTGCGGCAGGCACGGCAGGCTGGGATGAGCGTGAGCAGTGTAGCGCCAGGCCCCAGCTCGGGCTCCTCCCTGGCCACCTGCCGCTTGGCACACTGTTACATCCCCCAAGGGGTCCCAGATTGTGAGAGGGCGCAGGCCAGGCTGAGGGCCCCCCTCCCACTCGCCCCGTGCACAAATCCATGCACCGGGCCTCTAGTGTGAAAATAAAGAAACAACGTCAATGACTTTTCTTATCATCAATCTGCAATTCACCGAAGGTGATCCTACATGTGGGAACCACTACAGCCCAGGAATGCTGGTCCTACCACAAAGTAATATTTTAACTCTTCACATTTTAAAAAAACACAGACTTTAGATTGCCAGAAAGTAGAGATAGGAGGAAGGAGCGAGAGAAGGAAGGGTGGGGAGAAAGAGAGAAAGATATGCAGCCGACGCTCGAACAGTTTAGATAACCCTCTGGTTTAACCACCTGAGCCCCTTTTACCACTGTGAACAGCTGCAACATTCAGGCGAAAACACGGACTCTGCAAGCAGTCCAGCAGGAACCCTGCTTAGCTCTAGGCACGCTCTTGGGCCTGTTTTCTTAACATCTGCCCCAGACAAGAGTGAAAGACTGGCATCTGCAAGGAACTTTCACTAACAGACAATTTTCCTTAATTATGGCGTTACCGCCTCTCTCAAGTCAATGCCACTGCTAGAGGGCGGCTTCCCCGGGACACGGCATTTCCCTTCCTCCCCGAGACATGCAGGGCCCTGCACAGCCTCCCCGTAGCCCAGCTCCAGACTACGGAGCCAGGGTGCACAGGGCAGACACAAAGGGCTGTGAGGGTCATCCCTTACCTCCCCATTGTTCCATCCCTCACACCCTCCGTCCAGGGCCATGGAAAGATCTGGAAATGCAGTGCTCCCCTCGCCACCCGCCTGCTGCCCTTCCAGGAGCAAAGGCCTCTGTCCAAACGGCAAGTGGCCACAGCAGTGGTTGCTCTAATGCATATTTCAGAGAGTGGATGGTTTATAACAAGGGGAGCCCCAGCAGTCTTTTCCCCCCTGAGGGGGTGAGCTACATGAGTCCACCGTTAACCAGCCCACAGGTTCCCACCGGGTCTGCCTCTTCGATGACCTCTCCTTTCAGGCGTGTTTGGTCAAGCAAGGTCACCTCCTTCCCCAAATCCAACCAGAGAGACGGGACTTCTGGTTTTCCCTGTTAATAATTACCCTGGGATCCCATATAATAAAATTTCCCTTTGTCACTTGAACCTATATTTAGGTTTGATGCTATTAGACAGAAACAGCAAAAGTAGGTAGGAAGTTTATGAGAACAGGGGGTTATGAGAACGCGGGGGTTTTGCCACTTAATTTCTTTTTCTAAGATTACATGAGCAAAACTCCACTTTAAGAAACAGTCGTGTCTCACCTCTGTGCTCTACACCTGACACTAATAAAATACTGACTGTCCACTGTCATTGAAAATTTTCTTTTTACTTTTTTAAAAAATGTGTTTAAATCAATTTCTCAGGCGAAGCCCATCAAGTGGTCACCGTTCTGGAAGGGTGCAGATCCAGAACATTCTATTTCCACAGAAAGGTCTACTGCATAGTGTTGGTCTAGACCACAGAAGGGGAACCTTTATCTGCCAGGGGCTATCTGGATATTTATAACATCATCCTCAGGCCATACAGAATTATCAACTTAAAATTAGCCTGCTGCCCTAGCTGGTTTGCCTCAGCAGATAGAGTGTTGGCCTGCAGGCCGAAGGGTCCCGGGTTCGATTCCAGTCAAGGGCATGTGCCCGGATTGCAGGCTCCTTCCAGGCCTGGGCCCTAGTCCAGGTGAGTGTGGGAGGCAACCAATCGATGTGTTTCTCTCGCATCGATATTTCTGTCTGTCTCTCCCTCTCTCTTCCACTCTCTGAAAATCAATGGAAAAATATCCCAGGGTGAGGATTACAAATAATAATAATAATAATAATAATAATAATAATAAAATATATATTTTTTAAAACTTAGCCTACTACATTTGGTCAAATTTTTAATGAACTTACCCCTAATGCCTTCGCAGGGCCAGGCCAAATGATTTCACGGGCCTTATACACCCACAGGCCATCCCCTGGTGTAGACTTTGACCTGCTCAACTTGGTGTCTGAGCCCATCGCTGGACCAATGCTTCTGTTCCTACCGTTCAAACCCACGGGTAGAGAGACTGGCCCCTTCGGGGGTCACCCCTGTAGTTCGTTATGGAAGAGTTTCTCTGAGCATGGGGAGCAGCAGAAAAGGGGGTGGCTGTTCAAGCGTCAAGTTACAGCTACGGAGCAAGTGTTCCCGCCACATAAAGCGAATGGTGAAATCGGCCACACCACAAAGAGAGGTTGTCTCCAGGCGGTGGGACTATGATTACTTTTTGCTTCTTCCTACTTAGATGTGTTTTTCTGATTTTATTCAATAAGCACACATTCCTTTCTTGTCAAATAGAAACTGCATGCAAGATGACAACAAAAAGGAAACAGTCATCTACAAGGAAGCCATCAGCGTTGCTTGCACACACACCGCGAGCCGAGCGCAGGACGTACCTGACTTTCTTGCCCTGCTCCGTGAGCATCTTCACCAGGTCGGCGATGGGGTACTGCGCTTTGGCCGCACACAGTCCGTAGCCTGCGGGGAACGCCAAGAACACGGGAGAATGCGGTTTTATTTTGAAATTCCTCTCTGGATGGAAACATTTTTATGCCCAAAAAAAGCAATCCATGAATAGGACTAAAAATGAAAGCAAACTTATAATATGGAATTTTTAAAATACTGGCCTAAATTCCAACCTCAAATTCTAATAGTCCCTCCTCAGTCTTGTGCAGGTCTGACACTGCTGGGCACCCCCTCCCACACACACCACCCACATGCTGTGTTCCCTCTGTCTCTCTCTCTGTCTCTGTCTGTCAGTCCCTCACATCTTCCCACCTTTCCACTCCAGCACCGCTTCTCAGTAGGTGACACCAGGCCCACTGTGAGGGAGATGATTCTTTCTGCAGGAATGTCCCAGGCATTCTAGCAAATGTAATGTGCCTGCTCCCACACAGAGCTGACAGCAGCCGCCCTGTCTCTGAGACAACCAAACCCCAACCCAAGTCTCCAATGTCTGCAGAAGATGATGCTGGCCCAGGTGAGAAGGCTTGTACCTGAACACCCAATTATGCTAATGTTTACTTATATCTTAGTATAGAACCAACCAACAAACTACCCACATGTCAAATCAACAGATTGTCTTTACAGAAAATGCCTATGATATAACATGACAGAGTTAAAAGCTTAATCTGAAAATAGTATGTTGCTGTAAAAACACAGCATTATCTTCATAGTGAAGAAGAACTAAACTCAGCTTCAGAAAAGAAGGAAACTGCCCAGCCAGTGTGGCTCAATACTTGAGCACTGACTCATGAACCAGGAGGTCACGGTTCAATTCCTGGTCAGGGCACATGCCAGGGTTGCAGACTCGATCCCCAATAGGAGCATGCAGGAGGCAGCCGATCAATGATTCTCTCTCATCACCGATGTTTCTATCTCTCTCTCCCTCTCCCTTCCTCTCTGAAATCAATAAAAACGTATTTTTTAAAAAAGAAACTGAGGCCTGAAGAGATCAAGTGGCTTGGTCAATGTCATGTCGATTGTCAGAAGCAAAATTAAACCAAAATGAGACGCAATGACTCCCAGACCAAGCTCTTTCTACTAGGCGACGCAACCTCACCTTGGTGGAAACCACAGGAATCGCAATGATTTTTTAAATATTTGTTTTTAAAAAGAAAGAGATTAACATTTACTAACACTTACTGAGCAGGTTTAAGAGTGAGCTACTTTCATATACTATATCTAACTTAATCCTGACAACAGGCCCAAAGATTACCAATGAGGAATAAACAACCAAGACTTGAAAATGATTCAACATTGGTACAGAATCACTGGAAGACATGGCTAGAACCACGTCATCAATTTATAGAATCTCTACGTGATCTCCAAAATATTAACACAAGCTGAAAATTCTCAATACCTTTCACTATGTAACAATAGGGTTGCTTCTAAGTTCCCATTATGTTTTCAAAAACAAACAAGTGTCGGTTAGGTGTTTCCCTATTATAGGAAGTTGTTAATGTAATCAATGACAAAGCCCTTTTTTTGTACCTGGAGTAATAATAATACTGCTAGCTTCTCGAATCATGTCGATGGCATTCTCCAGGTTGATTTCTGTATGTGTGCCAGAAATCTCCATGGGTTTTCCACCCGCTGTTGACGTGGTACCATAGCCTCCAAGAATCACATTCGCCAGGGAGCGATTCATTGCCTGGAAAGCAAAATGACTCGCGGTGAGGGTTTAACCCGCATAACTTTTAGAAAAATGATCTGTATATATGATATTCAGAAATATTCCATAAAGAGGTATATGTGATCATCTAAAACATTTTAGCCGCATAATTTGACCTAGCTTATGAAAATTATTTCAAGAGTTTAAATGAAGATATCTGGGAAACCACATCCTTTTCTCTATAAAATCAAGTACACACGAATATATCTTCAGTAAGAGAGTAAAGTTTGTTTGTTAAGGCAATTCATGGAAAGTTACCGGTAACATTAAGAAATTAATGAAAAACTCAAACCTGGTTACTATCACTTGCACATGGATCGAGCAAGTTGTACCTCCACAGTCACGTGTATTTCACAGGAGGACAAGGCAGGCACAGGAATGTGAAATTTTACAAGGTGACCCTAGAGACTCAGGTGAGTTTCACTGCCAGCTGCGAGCTGTCCAGAAGCAAGCAGGAGGGAAGGGGCAGGGATGCCTCTCATTTAGAACTCTGCTGCCCTCTGCCGTCAAGAAAGATAAATGTAGATGTTGATAGGGTCTGGCTTTCCAAATCAGCTCTGCGAAGCTATAGTAGAAGTGACTGGACTCACTACTAGACTCCTAAAATATTTCATTTCCAAAAAGATAGATGAGTGAGCTTATACGTTTTTTTTTAGTAAAATAGACACCCATCCGTTTAGCCAGAAAAAAATTATCTTTGGGGGGGGGGGGAGGGGGGAGACAATAGGAAGGCACTTCTATTACAATCACCCAACACTCCTTTACAATCACCCAACAATGTGCCATTCGAACACCACCACGGAAACATGCCGATAACTGATCGGGTTCTGAAAACAGTTCATGTATGGCCCTCTCGAGGCGGGGCGGTGGAAGAAGCACGGAAAGACAAGAAGCCAGATGTTCTGAGGGATCAACTACATTTTAAGACGTCAAATCCCTGTACATGATCAAAGCAGTCATTCCACATAGTCACCACAGAATTTCTCACTTCAAAAAAAAAAAACTCCCAAAAAACTATTAAACCCTATTTTAAGGGTTGTAATAAACATATCATTGATCCACTGTTTATGCCACTTATAAGCTATATGAGTATCAATCTATTACTTTTTTTCAAAAAGACACTTGATTATTTAAAAGCAAAAAGCACCTGGAGATTTGCAGACAAATAACACATCAGAGAGAAGCACATGACCGCCCATCCAAGGACAGCCCACCAGCTGCCACCTTCGGGGGGACAGGCCCGTGAGTGGCTGAGAGGACAGAGAAGCAGGGGCAGAGGAGATGGGCAGAGAGCCACACTTGACAAAGGGCAGCAGGCCAACAACCTAAGTTGCAAAGATGATAGATCAAGATGTCAGAATTTTTCAAATTGTTCTTTTGACCTAAGTTCACTGATGAGTACAACATTCACATTTTACATAGCTCAAAGTCTTGTAAATTTGTCTAAGATTATCCTATATAATAAAAGCCTAATATGCTAAGTGTTGGGTCGTCCATTCAACCAATCAAAGTATAATATGCTAATGATATGCTAAGGCCACTCAACCGCTCACTATGATGTGCACTGACCACCAGGGGGCAGATACTCCAACCGGTAGATTAGCTTGCTGCTGGGGTCCAGCTGATCAGAGCTGAGCAAGACAAACCTGACACACCCTGGAGCCCTCCTGCGGTCCCTCCCCGGCTGGCCAACCTTCCGCATCCCTCCCCAGCCCCCATCATGCACCGGTGGGGTTCCTCGGCCTGTCTGCGCCCTCTCGCAATCCGGAACCCCTTGGGGGATGTCAGAGAGCTGGTTTTGGCCCGATCCTGCAGGCCAGGCTGTGGGACCCCACTGGTGCACAAATTCGTGCACCGGGCCTCTAGTAACATATAAAGCCCAGAATGTTTTCATGTATATTATTAATAGATAAGAAGGGCAGAGAAATATTGAAGTAATGCTTTTACGTTCATAGTCCCCATCTGACATGAAGTTTTAAATGCTGAACACCACTTCCTCTACTTAAATCCAAGGTTTAATGAAAATCTACACAGCCATACCTGAGACTTCCCAAACATTCAATATTTATTGATTTTGATCAATTCTATCTAGTTTTGAATTACAGGATTCTGAAAATAAATGACCAAAAATAGTTTCCACCAAATTTTTGCCCTTAAAAACTGATTCAAAGACCTATTTCAGACATTGAGATATTTCTGTCATAGATAACTTTTTATTGTTGTTCTTAATCCTCACCCAAGGATAATTTTCCATCAATTTTTAGAGAGAGTGGGCGGGAGAGGGAGAGACAGAAACAGCGATGTGAGAGAGACACATTGATTGGTTGCCTCCTGCACACACCCTAACCAGGGCCAGGGAACCTGCAACCAAGGTATGTGCCCTTGACCAGAATCAAACCCAGGGCCCTTCAGTGTGAGGGCTGACACTCTATCCACTGAGCCAAACCAGCTAGGGCCATAGATAACTTTAAAAAAAAAAAAAGTCAAACATACAAAAAGACTCCATCCCCTGCATCACACAGTCCTGTGACGGGACAGAGGACAGAGGAACATGACGCGGAGACAGATGTAGATGATAGAGCCCTTTCATCTTACCGGACTTAGAAGGAACCATTTTTCATTTCCTATAAAACTGAGTGGAGGAGAAGGAAAGAATATCTGAGGACATCTAACTAATGTGGACCCACTTCGGATGGCATCTTAGGGAGGAAAACAGGGAACCACACAGTAGTGTAACAATCAAAGTCTACTTGTTAAACACGTATCCACAATTATATCACCATTAAGCTAATTCCATGTGGTCTCTTAAAAACGAAATATTCTTCATCTCTGAACTTACCATTGCGACATCATATTTTCAACAAATGTTTAGGGTTTAGGGCTTTGTTTTGTTTTGTTTTTTCTCCTTTTGGCTTGCTCAAGTGATTAATGAGACTATCCTGTGACCACTGACCCCAGATTGAAGAGCTCCCAGCTCCAAGACAAAGCATTTGCAACCCTGTCCAAGACTGTGCCTTTTAAGTTATTAAGCCCTATAATGAAAATTGTATGCTACAGTAAAAAGATCCTTAATTCATGTAATTCTAAGCAAAATGTAAGAAGAAAACTCTGAAAACAAGGTCATAAAATGGACCAAACCAAAGCAATAATAATATATATACCATTGGCTAGCATCTCTCATTTCGATGCTTTGTAGGTGCTAATTAATTGGTTGCAAAGCAAAAAAGAAATTTTTTTAGTTTGGCTTTCATCCACTTAATTTTATTCTATTTTCATTTGGAAAAAAGCAGCAAAATGCAAAAATCAAAAAATTTGGTCTGAAAATGCTGTTCCATTTTCCAAGTAAACGGACTATAAAATCATAAAGAGGTTAATGTCTAACGACATCTGGATATAAAGCACAGCGTTCATTTGCACTGGTTGTTGGGACACTGTGGACATTTTTCGGTTTTTATAATCCTGGGTGTTGTGTAACCACGACATTAGGCTCAGAAGACACCCAAAAGGATTCTTGTCAGAACAAAATCCAATTTCAGGGGTTGCTAATTAGCCACTCGGGGTGCATTCCATTCCCTCTCGCATAACAAAAGCATTCTGGTCTGGTTTGGACTCGCCTGTCTCCTTCAATAAATAATAAAACAGTGAAGGTAAACATGCTGGTAATAATACTAGATATCGACATTTGATAGTATATCTGCTACTACAGCCTATCCGGAGAGGATTCCAAAATATGAAAAGAGCTAACAAATAAAATATTCATCTAATAGTTATTTAACAATTCTTGTATTTCTTTGAATGTGCCAGGTGCTAGGTCAGGCTCTATAAACACCAGAGCGAATAATACATGACCTCTTAAAGGACTTTCCCTGTAAAAGGAGAACAGAATTTCCTACCTCCAGAGTTCGGATGGGGAGTAAATGAGCTAATATTTGTACAGCACCCAACGCAGCGCCGGCAACATTGTGCTCTGCCTAACTACGAGCAGATATTTCCTTCTTAGTAGTATTATGAACCACTCTGAGCTGCCAGTAGGCACCAGCCACGAAGAAACAATTTCTTATCATGAACAGGCACAGGCTAAGAATTCTTGAAGATGAATGTGAAAAGTCAGAAACCAGGAAAATGTAGAAGTGAAGACCACTTCTGTCTTCAAAACAGAAAACTACGGCAGCCTTGCTTTTGTCGTCTGTTCTGTAATAAGACAGAGGAGCAGAGGGCTCAGTAAAACGCCTGCTCTACACGTCACCCACCAGGAGAACTTGCAACGCGTCCTCTGTGGAGACCCCTTCATCAATATCAACAGCCACCTTGACCAAGTGATTGTACGTAAAGGCAATGACCAACGATGCACCAGGAGAATGTACTGCAGGAAAAAAAGGCAAAAGCAACTAATAATATGGACTTGGGTATGATATAATACCATCTTAGCAGACACCAAAAATGGTTTGAAAGCCGTGCCATAGAATGCATTCAAACATATGCATGTGAGAAGACTATAATTAGAATATTAAATGTGGACAGTTAGGTGGTAATGTGATTATAGATTATTTTATTTTCTTATTCATCCTTTTCTATTTTCTTTCAAATTTCCCTCAATAAATGCCTTTTATTTTTATATCTGAATAATTTTTAAGATTAAAGCTTCAACAATCCTTGAGCCCAAATGACTACAATTTGCTATTACAGAGCATCAATCTGACCCAGTGTGATACTTGTGGTCACAGACAGCTATAAGAATAGCTTGTCAACCTTATACACAGTACAGGAATAACAAATATCTGCGGTACACTGGCAGTGAATGGCATGCCTGAGGCAGAGGAAATAGAAAGGACCTTAAAAAAGAAAACAGAATAAATAGAGAAAAAATAGAGAAAACAAATCAAGAAAAAAGAAATAGAAAAATGAAGAAAACGATGATATAACACATAAGTAGACATAGAAAAGAGGACTTTCAACTCCTGCCTCTTCTTACCTTATTCTAGTAACTGTTATAGAACTGCTACTATCAAAGCTACTGTAGTCCTCTAACCAAAAATAATAAGAAACTAAATGAACAAGGAAAGGAAATGGAGAGGAAATAAAAGAGGCACAGACAAAATTGGGCAAATAATGCTGATACATTTAAGAAGCTGAAGAAAACCCTGTAAGAAGAAAAGGAGAAAGGCAAGAAGGTACCCATGATGACACTCCGAGATCTAGGTACAAGTCCTCCGTCCTCCACCCCTACCAGAATGCCCCTGGCTGTGCTAAAATTCCAATCTCTCGTTTAATTTTAAAATCAGAGCTTTGACCAACCATACGTATTAGTGAAAATCTGCCGCCCCCTGCTGGTCATTTAAAGTCACCACATGAAGCAAAGCCAAACTAAGGGGAAAAGGTTCATTTTTAGAAGAATTATTTCTAATGTAACTGAATAAATGTTTTGTTCTTCATAAACATTTGGGTTTTTAAAAAAAAAAACCTCCAAAGCCTGGCATTTTTCAAATAGGAGACACAGAACCTCCCACCTTTCCAAAACTTCCTTAACAACTAGAGGGATTTAATTTCAAAACCTCTTAACTTGGTTTTAAACTTGGGCTATCAAATCCTTTGTTTTATACTATGACCAAAGAAAACTAATTTTTTATTATAAAAAGACAACTCCAGCATTCAATTAGCAATGAGTTTTTCAATTAAAATATAAGAGAAAATCTCCATTGTCAAATAAGGGTTTTTTAAATAATGTAATAAAAGAATGAAGGTGGGTTAAATATTCTTTTTCTGAATTATTAATCGGTGTGAAGTTCACATGCTGATTTCACTCAGTTTCATACTTGTCCTTTCACAGTCATTGGAAACGATTATTTAGAGAATAGCCTCTATAATCAGAAAAAGGTTGCTAGTCAAGCCTTTAATTATTTGCAGGATATCTTCTTGCCATCAAGAAGAGAATTAAAAACAAAAAGGAAGCTAGGACGTATTTTTCTTGTTAATTTTCTTTCTTTCCTTTTAAAACAAACAAACCATGCTGACCACAAAACTTCAGGAGGGCACCCTCGCAGATGACCAGCGGGAGTGTCAATTGCAGCCAGCTTTCCCGAAACAGCACGGGAAAGTTCAGAAAGAGCCCGTAAAAATGTGCACACCCTCTCCCTTCTAAGAATCAATCCTAAGACAAAAATCAGAAGTGCCGAAGATGTATTTATATACAAAGAGAAATAAAAATCACACAACCTAACAGGTACAGCATCAGGGGAAAAGTTAAATATATTTTTATATATCCATGTAATCGATTAGTGATGAAGTCCCTTAAAATAATATTGAGAAAGCATTTTTAATAAGAAAATGGCAAGAACATAGTTTGTAAGATTTAAAAAACTAAATGTGAAAGTGTACCTGGTGATTAGACAAGGGAATGCACAGACATGCAATTCACAAAGAAAGAGCAGAAGGAAATAACCCAAAACCTGCAGGAGTTCTTTCAGGCGGAGGGAGTCAGAAGGTTTTTATTTTTTCATTTTCCTAATTATCTACACTGAGTACTTTAAAAGCAGCCTCGCAAGTTGATTCAAATGCTACACACTGGGATTCCTGAGAAAGAGAGTGAAAGCTGAGGTAGTCATTTTTACCGCAAGTAACAGAAATGACAGACGCGCCCTCCGGTGCAGAACACCATTCCCGGGTCTGTCGGGCACGTGTCTCTTACCACACACATGATGTAGGACAGGATGGCCCCAGAGGAGCCGATGAGCGCGCCCACGATGGTCAGCAGGTTGTTGTTGAGCAGGAAGCCCTCGGCGCACAGGGCCCAGCCGGAGTAGCTGTTCAGCACGGTGATGACCACGGGCATGTCCGCACCCCCGATGGCAGCCGTCAAGGTCACGCCCTGGGACGATAAGCAAAGCGCGACTCAAAATTAACGCAACACAAATACAGCCTCTGCCCTCGAACAGCTCGGTGCTTCATCATTCCGGTTTTCCAACGACTATCGTGACACACACATTTCAGTCTGGCCGAGTCTCCCACAGATACAGCACACGTAAACACGGAACCACCGCCCCCAGCAAAGTCCCCCCACCCCTAAAAGGCAGTGATGAAAAGCAGGCAGAAACTGGAGAGGAGTCCTCACTTGGAAACCAGGGACTGCGCTGAGTGCATTTCCCAGTTTTTATGGCTTTAGCCTAAGGGCAGGCCCTGTCGTGCCAAGTGAAACAGCTAAAACAAAATACAATCCCACAGTCTCGCTCATTTGAAGATCGGAGGGTAGGGTTTAGGGCGACTAAGGCAGCTGGGGAGTGAGAAAGTAAATTCTGCACAGGAGAGGCTAGAGAAAGCAAGCCCGAATTCTGCGCATGAACTCTGCCCACATCTCTGGCTGGCTCCTGAACTAGGCATATGCAGGCAGACTCCAAACAATCCTACTGAAGATGAAATAACAATAGCTTGTTGAGATGTAAACTGTGCATAGGAAAGAGAGTCAATAATATTGTAGTAACGATGAATGGTGCCAGGTGGGTACTTGAAAAATCGGGGGAAGCACTGTATGAAGTATATGATTGTCTAACCCAGGGGTGGGCAAACTTTTTGACTCGAGGGCCACAATGGGTTCTTAAACTGGACCGGAGGGCCGGAACAAAAGCATGGATGGAGTGTTTGTGTGAACTAATATAAATTCAAAGTAAACATCATTACATAAAAGGGTACGGTCTTTTTTTTTTTTTTAGTTTTATTCATTTCAAACGGGCTGGATCCAGCCCGCGGGCTGTAGTTTGCCCACGGCTGGACCCGCTATGCTGTACACCAGAAACTAAGACAAAGTAATACTGAATGTAAACTCCGGTTGGAATTTTTTTTTTTTTTTAAGATTGTAGCTGCCCCCTGCCAAAGGGGAGCCAGAATTTGAAATTTGGATCCAGCCTGCTGAGTTGCCTACAAAAACTAATAAGGAAATCATTACAACCAATACTCTTTGGAGGAACACAACAGACTCTGAAGTCTCTATCATTCACGATATCCAGGATGCAACCCCAAATCACTAAACTAGAGAGGAAAAGGGATTGTGGAGAGAAAGATTTTTGCTTTTTATTCCCCGTATTCCTATATACTCTGAGTTTGTTACAATGTGAGTGTATTCATGTATTGCTAAATTAAGTGAAAACCAATTATATTAGGCCATGAAATATTTTACTCATTCTCATAGAGTCATTAAGTATTTTTAATCAAATTTACCTCTCCTCAAAAGTAACAATTTTTGAAGTTTTACATTTCAATGCACAGGTTTGATTTTGGCACTTTTTTTTTTTACTTCTTCTGCCCTGTTAGATAAAAAAAATATCAAAACTATTTTTCTTTTGTTCAAAATAAAACAAAAATCCATGCTATGTAAGTCAAAATAAAAATAGATCATCAGTGGTTGTATATAGAATTTTAAGTTACTTAGTGTCCTAAAGGTTCTGTGTTGAAATCACAGCCAAACTCTTAAGATTACATAAAAATCGGTCTCGTTTTGCCCAGCTGGTGTGGCTCAGTGGTTGAACTCAGTGGTCCACCCATGAAATAAGAGGTCACGGTTCAATTCCCGGTCAGAGTATATGCCGGGGTTGCGGGTTCGATCCCCAGCAGGGAGCGTGAAGGAGGCAGCCAATTGAAGATTCTCTGTCATCATTGATGCTTCTATCTCTCTCTCCTTCTCCATTCCTCTCTCTGAAATCAATAAAAATATTTTTTAAATAAAATACATCTATTCCGTTGGGGGTCTTAAAGAGATAGAACTATAACTAGACTATACTCTGATAAAATACAACGAGTTCCTCTCCAACTCTTACCATGATCGCAGAGAGCGCCGACACGGAGCCCAGGCAGAGGATGCCCGTGCTGAAGCTGGGGTCCAGCATGTAGGGGATGATCCCACCCAAGCTGGCCGTCAGCAGGCCCGCGTTGAGCATGTGCCGCCCGGGCAGCAGGAGGGGCGCGGAGTTCAGGATGCCTGGAACCAAGCGCAGGGCAGTCAGAACCGAAGAACCCCTCCCTCACAGTGTCCGTCCTCTAACCCTAAACTACCAAAAGGCAACACTAGAATTAAAACATGGTATTCGAAACATCACTTCCTACCACCAGATACTGAACCATCAAAGCCAGTTCGAGTTCTTCCTCAAGCGGAAAACTAGCGGAAGCAGGAAACGTATGCCTCCACGCAACTGTCCCCTACTGGCTCCCACCCCACGTCTTCACTCTGGTCACGGAATCCTGAAAAGTCACTTTTCCCGTGGGACCAACACAGAAGCTAAACGTTGTTTTCTTCCTCTAAAACTTCACCACAACGTCCTAGCACACCTGCATTCCTGATTCCACCCACTGAGCCCGGAGCGGAGGGGCTGGTCTGCTAGCTGTTTCTGAGGACGAAGGGCAAGACAGATTGTCTTAGGCGGGAAGTTCTTCCTGTGATGTTTAAGTTCCATGGAAGGTCCCCCTTAATTTTAACGAGTTCATTACTGAGAGGCAAGACCAGATTTTTAAATTACAAACTAGTTTCTCTCGAGACTCGTTTTTTCCATGAAAACCCGGGAAGCAGCCTACGTGGGGGGTTTTCTTTACTCCTATTTTCATGTGTGGTTTTAGCAGAAGCAAAAGTTGCCAAACTGGAGCCCAGAAACGCGTATTTGTTTTCAAGATAGGTGCCGTATACTCATCACACAAGCGTGTTCAATGAGCTCCCCGCTGTTCGGGAAGCCAAGGATTATGACGATGTCACTTGGTTCACGTGTATCAGCCAATGTCGGTCACTCCCTCTGCGCACATTTCTGTGTCCTGGTTTCCTGCACTAACCACGCAGAAGCAACAGCTCCCGAGCCTTGCAAGACTTTATCAGACTTGTAAGGACCAATGAAGGGACGCACCTTCGTGGAGAGAAAAAAGGCTTATATATTCTGAGTGCTGCACAAACGCTTCACCTAACAGGGTCTACTGTTTAGCTACTTTCTGACATTTTAACGGGCCCTCCTAGCCCCCTGAACAATAGATACTCACCTCCCTGTGGTGCCGACCCACTTACCCTGCAGCTTTCCGTAGGCAATAAGGGAGCCGCTGAAGGTGACTCCGCCGATGTAAGTCCCGAGGTAGGCCACGATCTTGGTGAGGTTTGCCGCTACGTCTGTAGCGAAATGCGGATACTCCACAATGTACTCAGCTACGCAGGTCAGCACCGCCGCCAAGCCCACCAGACTGTGGAAAGCAGCCACTAACTGAGGTAAATCTGAAATCTGGATGCGTTTGGCAATTGTCAATCCTGTCGGGAAATGCAGGTCAAAGAGAAATTAAAACGGGACAGACCCTGAAGGAGAACCCGCTACAAAGGCCACCCTTAAGGGGCTCCCTCCGTGTCACCAGTAAAGAAGCATCTGCTTCCTCGCATGGGCTAGCGGTGCCCTGAGGGACTGCACAGGCGGTAAGGACGCTGGCTACATACACTCCTGCAAAACAGCACGTTTTCTCAACACACCTAGCCAAGGCCCAGCTCCAGAGCGTCTCCTCCCCCCACAACCTTCAAAGGTGGCCCTGGCCTAGCGCACCCTCAGATTCCTTAAAGCTCCAGTCAAATCCCCTGAAACTCTCCCCGCCAGCATGGATACCCCAAGCCTGGCACACAAGAACCAGCTGGACATGAAGAAGGCCTAGGTTTTCAGGTGGACAGGGCCAAGTGCAAAGGTAACGAAATGCAAATATCTGGGTAATAAATGTCCAAATCAAGCGATTCTGAAGGAGTTGCACGGTTCTGGCCAGGTGATGTAAAAGCGCTGAGCTCATCCTACCCTATATAATAAAAGGCTAATTGCAAATCAACCGATTGCGGAATGACGGGTCACTATGACGCACACTGAGCACCAGGGGGCAGACGCTCAACGCAGACGCTGGGCTCACAGTTGGTGACCACAGCAGCAATGGCGGAAGCCTCTCCCGCCTCCACAGCAGCCCTAAGGACCCCGAGCGGGGATGTCTGACTGCCAGCTTAGGATATTCCCCAAGGGGTCCCGGACTTCGAGAGGATGCAGGCCGGACTGAGGGATCTCCCACCCCCACCCCAGTGCACGAATGTCATGCACCAGGCCTCTAGTGTCTAAAGGTTTTCCTGCCTGAACCCCCAGCACAGGCACCTTCCTTCAGGGTTTTTCAGTCAGGACAAAATGGGGCCGAAAGCTAATGTACTAATAACTACGTATTTAGCCACCAGCTCCTCAGGATAAAAACATTTGTGTGTATAAATACACACACGACTTTTTACTGCTATCAATGGAATGGAGCACACAGTTTTCAAAAAATAATAATAAAGTATACAATTCTCTTTAATGTAAATTCCATACAGGCAATTGATTTTCACGGAACACTTTTGTTGATTTTTGCCAAACTCTGGTGCCTGCAGCCAACCTAGTGTTTGCTGATGCCTTTGTGTGGTTCCCACATGAATGCTGGTTGGTAATTTTGTTAACAGTAACAAACAAGACAAAAGTGAAGCAAGATGCATGTGAGAACTTGGCTCACTGTCAACCGTGTGAGCGACGACTTCGCTGGATCTGGTAAAGGCTTGCACACACTAGAAGGATACTGGCCCAGTTTTTGTGCTATTCGCTATATAATGGCTAAGGACACAACACATTTTTCAGTTGAAGCTGCATTATCAACATTTTCTCCAGCGCTTTCTCAGGTCTGGATAATCAACAAAACAGTTAAGTGAAACCATGGTCAATGTCAAGCCACCAGAGTGGTCATTAAACATGGAGTTGGGAAGAGATGAACAGTAGCCCATCCATCATTAGACAGTATTTCTACCAGAGACAATAAACACGGACAACCTCAAGAGCCAAATAACAAAATCTGAAAAATTAATTAGAAAAGTATGGATAGCATTATTACCTTTGTTTCTACTACAATTTATCTATCTTCTTTTGGTGAATAGTCATCACCATTGGTATAATTCTCATTCAAACACAAACACTAAAACCTGTACAGAGTAAGTACATCAACTGAGTCAAAAGTGAGAAGTGAGCATGGGTTTGCACGAAGGCAGAAGCCCATAGTGCTTACCAATGGTGCCGCCCAAAGCCATGGCTCCCGACATCTGAGCCAACAATTCCGGGCTCGGGTTCAGGCCTCCAAGGGTGGCTGCCAGGCCTCCAGCCACGCCGATCATGCCCAATGCATTGCCAAGACGAGCAGTTCCCTGGGTGGAAAGGCCGGCCAGGGCACCAACACAGCACAGACCTGAGCCCAGGTACATGATCTTTCCAGAGGAAGAGGGAGAGGGAGAGGAAGAGAGAGAGGGGGGGGGAGGGGAAAGGAGGGGGAGAGAGAGAGAGAGAGAGAGAGAGAGAGAGAGAGAGAGAGAGAGAGAAAGAGAGAGAGAACATCAAAACTTTTGGTCTATTAACACAGGAAAGACCGCTTGTGAGGAAACGTGATTCTCTAAAAACAACTTTAAATGCAGACAATAGAGAAACCACTATGAGCTCTTCTTTTAATATTTCGGTATATTTTCCTACCCATTAGGGATACTAAATACTCTCCATTGTACTTGCAATTATACCATTCATGTAAATTGGTTTCTTCGGGATTTGATGGTATGCGCAAATGCATATGGAAGTCCCTAAATCTAAATTATGTCATTATGGGATCTAACCAAATGCTGAAAAGGAGGCGACCGCTGACGCTGCCTGTGCCAGGGGACCGGACCACACACTGCAAGAACGTTGTAACTCGGTCCCATGAGATCCCCGGGAGGAAAGAATCTTCAGCCTCATTCACAGAAAAGGAAACGAAAGCCTGAAGAGGTTCCACAGTGTTTCCAAGGTCAGCTGATCAGTGAGCAGCAAATCTGGGTCGGACATGGGTCTCTCCGACTCACCGCTCCAACTCTTCTCAAAAAAAAAAAAGACTGTGCTCATTCAACAAATGCTACATGTTGGAAGCAGAAGAAACCAAGGGAGACGTGATCTGCCTGTTGTCTGGGAGGTTGCAATCCAGTGACCGTCATTGCGAAGAAACGGAAAATACCAAGCTCAAAGTTGAGTATTATAATTACATGTAGACCTTTCAAAGTTCAACTAGGTTATTTGCTTTGTTATAGAGTATTCATCTTTAAACTATCTTTTTAAAATTAATTGGCACAACATCTCCTGATAACAAGAGATGATGTACTAGATTTTAGAGGGGAAAGTAAGAAAAGGACTAATAGTACTTACTAATATACTTTTTCAAATGTATTGCCAATTATTTCATTGCATCCCTACACCAATCCAGCCCGGTGCAAAAAGAGGATGGGCCCTGACCGGTTTGGCTCAGTGGATGGAGCGTCGGCCTGCGGACTGAAGGGTCCCAGGTTCGATTCCAGTCAAGGGCATGTACCTTGGTTGTGGGCACATCCCCAGCAGGGGGTGTGCAGGAGGCGGCTGATCGATGTTTCTCTCTCATCGATGTTTCTGACTCTCTATCCCTCTCCCTTCCTCTCTGTAAAAAATCAATAAAATATCTTTAAAAAAAAAAAAAAAAGAGGATGCTAATAACCTTCTTGACTATTTGTACATGTGGAAAAACTTGGGGACAAACAGGGGGACCCACATTTGCACGTTCAGGGAGTGGGTCCACCTGGCTCTAGAATCCAGGGTCCTGATGCTTTATTTCACCAAGATGTTTCTAGAGTTACTGTTGTACCTGCATGATAAAGTGTGGGTATTGGTAATGAGAATGTTACTCCAGTTGAGGGAAAAACAGTGGCAAAAACAGAAACTTTCCAAAGAGCCTCTTACTTGTTCAATGTTATAACCGCTGGAGAGGGCAGCTAAATATCCTCCAACAAAGGTACCAGCAGGGAGCAGATACAGGTAGTTGTATTCCGGGGGGTCAGTGGGGCGCTTAAACATGTCCAGCATCCTCTGAGTCACCAGAAAGCCACCTTATCAAATAAATATAAAACAGAGAGGTAACCTCATTGAGCAACACCATTGTTTTAACATGCTACAATTTTTATATTTTAAGCACCTTTATCATCTATGGATAAATATCATGTTAAGTAACAGACGGTCAAAATTAGATGTTATTTTATTATTCAAGCCAGTTCCATTGAAAGGGGGGAGGGGGGGACCTAAATTTGCTATCAGGCAGAACCAACTATTTACGCATGACTACAAGTAACTAGCCATTCAGACGGCGTGGGCATGCAACCCATCAAAGGCAGGGTTTATTTTCTAATAGGTGATCCTGTTTGTTAAAGTCTATAATAAATGATAAGAGAAAAAATACCACATCAACAGGCACTGGATTTCTTGGACCCATAAAGAATTTTTAGCCCTGGCCGGTTTGGCTCAGTGGATAGGGCATCGGCCTGTGGACTCAAGGGTCCCGGGTTCGATTCCGGTCAAGGACATGTACCTTGGTTGCGGGCACATCCCCAGTGGGGACTGTGCAGGAGGCAGCTGATCGATGTTTCTAACTCTATCCCTCTCCCTTCCTCTCTGTAAAAAAATCAATAAAATATATATTTTTTTTAAAAAAAGAATTTTTAGCTACAAAATAGCATCAAGTGAGTATCGTGTACAAATTAAGTGCTAAGCATCCAGTTTTTAGAAATAAACGCAGGCTAGGCTAAGGCAAAAGACTAAAATTTTTATCTCAAATTAGACTTATCTAGAGATGTTATGGTGATCATGCTTCATAATTTAATGCCCAACTATGCCTTTAATACTTTCCCAGCTAACTTGTATTTGTTCTATTTGTTTTGGGACCTTATCAAATGAGTTTCTAAAACTTACAGACGGGCAAAGTAACTAATTTCCCTCCATAGAGAGCATTTATGAGCTGAGTGAAACACTTTTAATGGGCTGTCTATGTTATACTCATTTATATTTGCTTCTCATGTCCCCGTTCCAAATAGCACTGCGGCTTCTGTCGCCGCCATCGTACCTGCGATATTGACCGAGGATATGAAGGTAGCAAGAGCAGCAAGGCTCTGAGCCGTGGTGGAAGGGTACAAATGCCCGCCCATCAGCGCCAGCCCACCAACTGCAGTCAACCCTGCAAAGAAAGCATCAAGATGGTAATCAGCCACAGTGACACCGCCAATCAATGTCACAGCGAAGGATGTCACAGGCACAGGTTCAGGAAGGAGAAAGTTCTCACAGCCTTCCCCCTGAGGTACCATTTGGGCAAAGAGTTAACAACACCCCTCCCCCTTTTGCATAAGATTCTGACCTTCCTCTGTCTTTCTATCTCTGTTCCCCTGCCCATGACATAAATCAAAAAGGTCGTTAGACAATGCTGCTATGGTGAAAAGGGACCCCCGGGGATAGGTTGCAACTGAACTGGAAGGAACGGTCCCTGGACTAGAATACGTGATGGTGAAGCCATAGTTTGGCACTTCTTGGAATTGGACACATCCCTGCGGAGATCCCGAAAGCTATGCCTATGGCCATGTTATAAGAGATGCCCACAGCGGCCAGGAGGCGTCCAAGCAGGGCAGCTCCCACGTGTGTCCAATGTGGGTCTCGTTCCTCAGATCCAAGCTCTCACTGGGGGCCACAGGGAACAGCCCCTGGGCAGGGTGTGGACTGCGGCAGGGCCCTCTGTGAAGACTCGCCCCCAGGGAGCCGCCGATGCTGCCCTACTGGCCGCTGGGTCCTGCCCCATAAGCTGCAGGTGAACCTGACATCAGGGGTGGCAGCTGCAGACTTGCTGGGCTACACGCTCAGCCGGATCTAAGAGCCCCAAGAGGAGGCTGCACCACGAGTCTATGGAGCACTGCTTCCCAAATGTTATGGGGAGAGGGGGGGTCCCTTCTTCCATGGCGGTCACCGCCGAAGGAAATGACAGTGGCTGCACTGCTGGAGATGGAAGCAGCCCAGCCCAGCCCCGTGCCTGTGGGAGCCCAGGCCACCACAACCACAACCCCTGACGCCAAGCCAGACCATTTGCAAACACAGACTTCATAAACCTCCTGCAAAGCACTCTATAAACCCATGCAAACCCGAGGCGGGGGGAAGAGGAACAAACCTGAGATGGCATTCGTCACGGACATCAGTGGCGAGTGGAGGGCAGGCGTCACTCCCCAGACGGTGTGGTAGCCCACAATGCCGGCCAAGCCGAACGTGGTCACCATCTGGGAAAAGGCTAAATTGGGAGCTGAGAGGCCCAAGCCCAGAATCCCGGTGAGACCTGGAGAAGGAGAGGGAAGAGGATGAGCTGACAGCCACTTATCTCAGGAAGATTAAAAGCACATGCACACCCACAGACAAGCAAACACGTGGAATAGCCAGTGCTTTCAATTCCACACCCTTGCCAGTAATGAGCAGACTTCTGAGACATTTCATGGTTGGGAAGGGGGAGAGAGGAGGGATAGAGGTATTGTGAACAAAGCTCAACTTCCCGGCCACCTACCCCCAAAATAAAATAAACTGTAAAATCTATTCAAATTGTTGAGTCACCTTAATAGCAATGGGCACATTTCCCTTTGTGAGGCTTGTACCCTGCCCTGTTTTAAGATTCACTGACAATGTCACATGTGTTTAGACAAGTGTTTTTCTTCCCCAGTGACAGGCCTATAGGTCTCCCCAAGCATTTCCTACTCGGGCAAGACACAACCTTCCTCTGACAGGGCTCCTGTGAGGCCAGGTCTGTCATCTCAGATGTGGCTGAGGGAGAGGGCTTGAAACGCGTAGGAAGGGTTTCACTGCCTCCAGCACCTCCCAGACATGTGGCTTCCACCCACCCGGCTCGGAGTTTTGCAATTGCTCCCGAATCTGCGCTGGACCGCTGGCCGGGCAGGCAGCGCCAGCCTCAGCACCAAGTCAGCAAACAGGATTGTACAAAGACAAGGGAACACGGCCAATTAAATTAAGAATGTGCACAATACAAACAGTCAGCTCTGGACACACATCTTTAATTATCGCCTTTCCTAACAGCAAACATGTGGACGGCTGCTGGGAACAGAAGGAAGTGGGACCCAGTGGTCAGGAAAGGCAGAATGAGAGCAGGCGGCCAGGGAGCTGGCGCTGACTTTTCCTGAAGAGGGTTCTTTTTTCCCTGGATGCGAACTATTTCTTTATAAGTGGCACAGACAGAGCATGTAGGCATCGACATTCATTTTACCTTAACTCGTTCAATAAGACCGTCGTTTTCATTTTTATTTTCCCACACACATAGAAGATTTCCAGTGCAGAGGGAAAGTTAGATAGGATATTGTCTGGTGCTCCAGTTAATCTTTAGAGAAGCCGCACGGGGCTGTGGTTAAGAATACCTTTCCTCAAGCCAGAGTGCCTGCATCAAATCCTGACTCGGCAGCTTGCTAGCTGTGTGATCTCAGACAATTTACTTAACCTCTCTGTGCTATAGTATCCTCATCTGTAAAATTATTAGACCTTTGTCCTCATATGGAAAAAGACAGAAATCACATCTGCAGGTTTTCTTATCAACTATTTAATAAACTAATGTGTTTTCTACAATACACGTAATAATGTCAGATGTACAATTTCTATAGTCTGTATAATACAGGAAAAAGAAGAGAAAGGCAGAGAACAAAGAAAGGAGGGGAAATAAAATCAAATTCCTTGAAGTATGCTATTCAAATAGATTCCTAACACATACACATAAAAAATACTTGTTTTCATTACAAAGGAGGAAGGTCAAGGCAAAGAAAAACAAATACAGGGCCATCCTTTTGTTCCCTGGAATATGTCATTGTCATACCTATTAAAATGCAATAAACTTTAACTTAACATACATAAGAAAAACCTAGAAAAATAAATCATCATATATGCTCATGAATCTCAAACAGAAATGGCAACTTACAATCCTACTGATATACGTACTCTCTGTGTACACTACAATAATCCGGTTTCTTTTTTTTAACAAACAAGTGCAAGTAGGGACACTGCCCATTTACTTACAACGTTCACAACTAGAGGTTCTTTTAGTCATTTTGCTGAGATCTGCTCTTTATTCAAGGAGAGTTAACATATTTAGCTTTCAAACATCTGGACTCATATGGGAATTAGGGGAATGCTGAGGCTACAAGAATTCTCTGTGTCTGGTGCTGGTTCTTAATTCTTCAGAGTTTGCTTTTGTTTGGGGTTGGTTTTGGCTCTAAGCAGATCTAAACATTTTTAATTTATTCTATGAGAGAGAAACCAATATAATATCAAATATCCACAAGTCAGACTCAACAATTCATAGCCAGAATGAATATTTATCCTTATGTTATAATAACTCTTTAGTGTTTTCATAAAAATGAATTTAAAAACAAAGACTGGATGTTAAATTGTAAAGAAAAGAGAAAATCGCTTAAAAATTGGATTTTTTTGTACGAGGTGGATAATTTAGAATGTTGGCCAAATGGGTTCCAAGGCTATGCCTGTATTGCCCACTCTCCCGCAGAAACATCTGGTTCCCCAGTGTTCCCCAGTCTGACCCAGCTGTGCTGGCCATCAGAACTGATGTTTTATAAACCGCCAAATAAACAAATAAACAGCTACATTTATACGCACTTCACGTCAACACGATCTGACGTACACCACTACTCAATATATTTGACATAGATAAAAATATGAACAATCATATTTAAAATGTTTTTATAAAAGGAAACGTATTCACCGCCTGTGTATGCTTTCCCACACATTCATTCCAGCATATAGCATGGTGCCTGTTAGCTCCTGGGGTAGCAAATCTATACAATCTCCAACTCCACTGGGTGGGACAGACAGCATGTTTATGGAAAACTGCCTCTACAGGCCCAATTCCTAATGGAATCCAAAGACGGCAAAAGCATTTCACTGGCTACTCCTGACATGACTATCCAAATTCAGATCATCAAGACTGTTGGGAGCCATTAGAGATATTGGCTTAGACAAAGCCATCTTAAGAACTATAAGTTTCTGGTTCCTCCAGAAACTCCTAATTACCAGAAACCACCTGTGTCTTGCAAATTGGCCAGCAGTTAAAGATAAACTACCCTCACACAGCCGCTAAATCACATATCTCCACTGATAAGCACACAGCCATCCAGAGCCTGCTAAATCACACATCTCTGCTAATAAGCACAGCCATCCTAAATCACTAGTAATAGGTTACTGCCCATAGACCCCTTTACCCACCCCCCTTCCCTAAAACAGTATATATCCTGCCGCTGTGAGAATAAAGTTTGAGGCTTGATCAGAACTTGTCTTGCCTCCATTCTTTCGTGTCCCTTGCTTGTTTCATTCTCCTAGGGTGTCTCTTCGTTCCCACGTTGTTGTCCCGCGGGTCGGGACAGTCTGGCGCCCAACGTGGCAACTTGGGGACCCCCTGCGAGAACGTCTGCTTGAAGCGCCTGGCCAGGCACCCCATAGAGTCGCCGCGCAGTATTGACTCGTGAGTGAAGACTCGGCATCTTGATCGCCACGGTTTCGCCCGCCCGTGAGACAGATCGTTGTGAAGGTAAGCAGACGAAACTTTCCAAGCAAGAATTTCAAAATACCTCTTGAGAGCCTTCACCCTCTTTGGCACCCCCTTTGGCTGGCCCTTTTTAGTTTTCTTGATCTCCCTCCAGTCCACTAATAAGCACTTCACCTCGCCGTTCGGGGAAGAGTGAAGGGTACCCGACACCGGCAGTGAAAACTCTGAATCACTGGGAAAAGTAATTTTTCTCTGGCCCGACCTGTGTCACCCTCTCTGGCAAACTCTGAGCTCGCTAAGTCTTAGTGGTTGATATCCTGGTATGGGGCTTATACATCCCAACCTATGACACGCGAGCAGAGGCCGTAAGGTAAAAGGAGAGCGGTTACATAAGGATCACCAGAGATTTAAGAAATTCCCAGCTGACCTGGCACGGGGTTTATACGTCCCAGAGGCTTACGTGGAGGAGGAAATCTTGAGAACTACCCAGCCAAAACAATGGGCAACTCATTGAACTCTCATGAGGTATTTCTAGGTGGGCTCAGGGAGTTCCTCAGGACACGGGGAGTAAGGGTTAAGAGAAAGATTTAAGCATTTCCCAGGGGGCTCAGGGAGTCCCTCAAGGCTCGAGGATTTCGGGTTAAAAAGAAAGATTTAAAGAATTTTTTCACTTTCATCACTGACCTTTGCTCATGGTTTATTATAGACTTTTGATTAGCATGTTTAAAGTGTTAAAATTTTAGAAGGTAATCTTTTATAGTTTTGCATGTTGTTATAGAACATAACCCTTGGTTTCTTGAAAAAGGTACATTAAATCTTAAAAGTTTGCCAAAAAAGTTAATCAGAACTTGCCAAAAATTGTTTCCCCTTGTGGAACACGGCATTTCATTTCCTAGAGGCTTTAGCAGAGGTCAAGGAGGATGGATCTCCTCCCCCTTGCACCCTCCTCTCTTTAAGAGAAGCAGAAAGGAAAAAAAAATGGGAGAAATGGTCTTCATGGCTCCCTCCACCTCCATGTCCTAATCCTGAAATGTTTAATTTGCCGTTAATAAAATCACCTGTGCAAAAAGGCCAAATTATAAAGAAATTGGAATATTAAAAGGTACTCCTTAAAATCAGGCTGAAAAAATAGTGCCATGGTCATCTTAATGTGTTTTCTTATCTTAATTTGTATTTGGAATCTAAAATCTGTAATAAGAAATGAAACCCCGCTGTTGAATCCGCCTCTGGTGTGGAGAGATTCAAAGGTGGCAAGAGAGAGCAGAGTTACAAGCTCTCCCGCAATGAGATTACTTAATGTTTTATTTAAAAATTACCGGAGAACATCTTATGACAACCAAACTTTGGCTAAGATAACTTTGGGTGCTAGCCATGACTTTAGAAAGCAAAATAGGAATAAATTTAAAATGTCTTCTATTAAGCATGACTTTGGGAAAAATAAGCCATCTGAGTCATTTGCTGAAACTTCCCCCAAAAGCAGAATGTGGGGGAAGGGAAGAAAAAGCACATGGCGATCCAGTGTGGACGCCCCCTCCCCAAGTATTCTAAAATTAAAGTCCTTCTTGTAACTGAAAAGCTTTTACAAATTTAAAAACGCATCCGGGATTTCTGTGCACATGTAAAGGTAAAAGGCCAGTTTAAAAACGAGTGCGCATAGTTTTGAGCTGAACTTGACCTTTTGCTGAGTACAGAATAAAAACCCGAGACTGTTTTGGTCTTAAAAATGGCAAAGATGAACCTGAGAAAGAAATGCAGATAGGTTTCCCAAGGCGATTTAAAGTAGCTCTTTTGAAATTTCCCGCCCTAAGGCAAGTACATGTGAATAGCTATGGTTTTGCTTATTAGCTGGAAACTTAAAACTTTTAAATTCAAATCATCTAAAAGTATTGAAATTTATAATACTGAAAGGTTAATCTGAGTATGCCTAGTATGAAGTCTAGATGATAGAAGTTAATCTATTAATTGAAAATGCCTTATATTTTGTTTGAAATGTATCCTTAAATGTAAAAGTATTGATTTGAAGCATGCTAAATATTTAATTTGCTTTAAATTTAATTGATATCTCTTAATAATTATAAGAAGTATATAATTTTTAAATTATATATATATTTGGTGGTCTCTCAAGTTGGATTTCAAAACTATAACTAAGGAATGACTTTGAGAAATTTCACGGGCCCTGAAATGTTTTTCAAAAGTCTATTCTCTCTTTTTAAATTTAGCTAAATTTAATATACTTGAAATCATATGGAAAGCTTTATCAAATAAAAATTAATAAATATATATTTTAAGTTTTTGCCTCTGAGAAAGGGCAAAACAAGTTATTTTGTTTAATATTTCTTAAAATACAGCAGTGAGATTTTAAGATGTAATTTGAAATACAAAAGCTCCTCACTACTGCATTTTAAATTAGGCTGGAGGTGGGGCAGCGTTTGCACCTTGGGTATCAGACATAAAGCTTTACTGAATTTACTAATCTTTGTAAGCAATTGAATCCTAGTAAAGTAAAATTCTTCTAAAAAGTTACTGAAGGCTTCCCATGATCCCTCTGTATATGCAAATAAGCCGAAAGGGAACGCTGTTTAAAAACATTATTTTAAATTTAATAAAAAGAAGAAATTTTAATATTTTGAAATATCTTCCACTAATATTTACAGAATAATCTAATGATTTGCTGTTAAAATACCAGATCTGAAAATAAGTACAGTCACCATAAATGTTTAATGACTTTGACTTGGAATACATGGCCTTGCGGCACTATCAGTCAACATCCAAGAAGTAACCCTATAAGTTACTTGGTGTAAAAAAAGAAAGATTTTTCTTTTTTAAGGTAAAGTTCTCCAAGTGTAATCCAGCAGGAGAAAGACAAACCAGACAACCAACAGCCCAGAGACCACCTGGGGCACAGTAAAGTGAAGTATGGTAATAATTAATTTGGGTAAAAACTGTAAGTTTCATATGTTTTAGAAGGCACATTTTTCCTTTATTACCCAAGGACTCTAGATAATGTGTTTACCCAGAACTATAATTTAGATAGCATGCTGTCTCTGCTTCTGTAAATTGCTTTTTTTGCTAACTAGGTTCCTCATTCCAAACCTTGAGTTTAAAATCAAGTTGTCATGACTTAGAGCAAAGAATATTCTTACATGGTATTATTCTACAAGTTTTATTCATAATTTTTGATGCTTTACAACAGTATATTGTGCATTTATCCCAAAAAAACTTACAAATTAACATTTACTTTGGATATTTTGAGAATGTGAAGGGATTTATCCCCTCCTGGGGAAGGCACTTAAGCATTCTGTATTGACCTCTCTTGACCTTTTTTTAGGTACAGCATTACACACCTATAATAAATGATCTAACCAGCTAATTGATGATGTCCAAGCTCTCTCAGGCACTATCAATGATCTCCAAGATCAGATAGATTCCTTAGCTGAAGTAGTACTACAAAATAGAAGAGGGTTAGATTTGCTCACAGCAGAACAGGGAGGAATATGCTTGGCCCTACAGGAACGCTGCTGCTTCTATGCCAACAAATCCGGGATCGTCCGAGACAAGATAAAGAAGTTACAAGAAGATCTAGTGAAGAGACTGAAAGAATTATTCGAGAACCCCCTTTGGAGCGGACTGAACGGACTCCTGCCCTACCTGCTCCCTGTTCTCGGCCCCCTTATAAGCCTTCTCCTAATCCTAGCTTTCGGCCCCTGGGCTTTTAGAAAATTAACAGACTTGTAAAACAGCAGGTTGATAGCGTCCTGGCCAAACCCATTCAGGTACACTACCATCGTCTAGCCATGTTAGACCGTGAATGTGATTATAATGAATGCCAAAACTCCCTCCCTGCGGGGACAGCATGACGCCAGAGGGATGCTTGCCTACTCCCCATAGAAGGAGAAAGGCATGGGCACCGACCTGGGTGCATGGCAAAGCACTGCAAGGGAAGGTCACAAAAAATTTTTCGACCTCCTCTGGATTTCCCTGTGAGCACACCTGGTTTGCATAGAGGTTGGTATCCATACATAACTATCGGCTCTGCCTCTCCTCCCCAAAAGATACCAAGAGCCACTGACGGTGGGATCCCACCATCCCACGGGAGGAACCAGGTCCCTACTCCCCCAGTCGGTTAAAGCCCACCCTTAATAAAGAAAAAGGGAGGAATTGTTGGGAGCCATTAGAGATATTGGCTTAGACAAAGCCATCTTAAGAACTATAAGTTTCTGGTTCCTCCAGAAACTCCTAATTACCAGAAACCACCTGTGTCTTGCAAATTGGCCAGCAGTTAAAGATAAACTACCCTCACACAGCCGCTAAATCACATATCTCCACTGATAAGCACACAGCCATCCAGAGCCTGCTAAATCACACATCTCTGCTAATAAGCACAGCCATCCTAAATCACTAGTAATAGGTTACTGCCCATAGACCCCTTTACCCACCCCCCTTCCCTAAAACAGTATATATCCTGCCGCTGTGAGAATAAAGTTTGAGGCTTGATCAGAACTTGTCTTGCCTCCATTCTTTCGTGTCCCTTGCTTGTTTCATTCTCCTAGGGTGTCTCTTCGTTCCCACGTTGTTGTCCCGCGGGTCGGGGCACAAGACTACATGCTGGTGAGTGGGAGGACCTCACCTGCGGTGTACGCCGAAGCCGTGGTCATCGTTTTCCTGAAGGGCGTGACTGTCGCTGCTTTTTCAGCTTCCAGCTCAGCCACTGTCTTCGGCTTCTCTGGGGCGCCTTGAGGAATGTTTTTCGGTGTGGGAGCGGGGAAAATCACTTCGCCATCCTAACAGGAATTAGCAAAAAAGCATTTCTTATGTCAATCCAGTGTTTTAAAAATATGTTGAAGGGGGGGGAAAAAAACTGTGTTTTTTTTTAAATAATTTTAAATAAATTTGTACAGTCCTGGCCGGTGTGCTCAATGCTTCGAGCGTCACCAAATGGTTGCGGGTTTCATTTCCGGGAAAGGGCATGTATCTGGGTTGCAGGTTTGATCAGGCCCTGTCCAGGTGTATGCAGGAGGCAACCAATCGCTGTGTCTCTCTCACATCAATGTTCCTCTCTCTCTCTCTTCACCCCCTTCCACTCTCTCTATAAAAATCAATTAAAAAATATCCTCAGGTGAGGATTAACAACAAAATAAATAAGTAAAAATAAATAAATTCATATGCTAGTAATTTATAAGATCATTCTATCTACACTAATAAAATATAAACATGCAAATTGACCATACCTTCGCTATGCCTTAAGCCACGCCCACCAGCCAATCAGAGTCACTATATGCAAATTACTCCAACCAAGATGGCAGTTAATTTGCATATACCAGCTGGGAGCGAAGACTGAAGACAACGTGGAAGCGAAGCGCTACAGAAGGGAGCAAGGTAGAGGCAGCGGAGACAGGAACGGAGCCAAGGCTGCGGAGGTGGGAGGCGGGAGGGCAAACCCAGCAGGAGCGGCTGGGAGCGGGAGGGGAAACCCAGCCGCAGCGGGTTCCGCTCCCTTCTCTGCTTCGCTCCAGCCTCAGGAAGCCCTATTCTTGCAGGAATCTTCTTGCAACGGGCCTCTTGTAAGATATATAAAAGCCTAAGTGACCGTTATGATTGGTCAACAGAACAACCAGTCAACCGATCGCTATGATGCACACAGACGCTCAACACAAGAGCTGCCCCAAGGTGGTCAATTCACTCCCACAGCCAACCTCCTGTGGCCCCGGCCAGCCAACCTCCTGCGGTACCTCCCCTTCACCAACCGGCCCCAATCGCCCCAATCAGGACTGGGCAAGACAACCCCAATGGCCCCAATCACCAGCCAGGCCGAGGGACCTCACCTGTGCACAAATTCATGCACCAGGCCTCTATTTATATAAATATATAATGCATGTTTATGTTTGTGCTACACATACATGCATAGATACATAATTTGTATGTGCATAGAACACACATGAAAGAATACAGATCAAATCCTTAAAAGCAGGTAGGTTTGAGAAACATTTCATTTTCACTTTATTCAATTCTGATTTTTTTTGTTTTGCTTGTTTCCGTTTTTCAAAAGCTATGCATATTTTAGGTCTGTCATGTGTGTATATAAGTCTGTGCAATATTTAAGTCATTCTGCATTTTTAAACAATTTTATTGGCAAAAAAGCAACACATCACTACTTTATTAGAATAGGCCTCAATTCCAAACTAGGATTCTTCCATGGACAGACACCCTAAACCAAGTTTGCAATGAAAACTCAGGAAAGAACAGATCTCTGTACCCACCTTCATCACAACAGTTCCTCTAATGACGTGGCCCATTGTACCAAAGTCAAAGTCATCTTTCACTTCAAAGTAAAAGTTATCTTTGTCAGGGCTGATGGCCTTCAGGAGCTTGGTGATGTTGTTGGAATACAGGGTGCTGGCCTGCGTGGCCATTCGACTGGGGAGGTCTGTGTAGCCTATATGAGTAACTCCCTGAATGAACAAAAATGCAGTCAGAAAGGCCTATTCGTATGCTCCCATTCTTTCCAGGACAATTCACAGTCATAACAAGTATACATTTCGAAATTCTGTATCTTTATAAATACGTACACATCCTCACAAACAAATATACATTTCAAAAGGACCTTTAAACGTGCCTACTTTTTATTTTTAAAATGTTCAGGCTTTGGTTTTTCTAAATACATAACGGAATAAACACTCACACAAGTCCCTGGAGATGTGGGAATTGGTTCATAGAAGAGGAAGCTTTGAGCGATACCTTATGAACATACAGTTCTCCTGGCTTCGTGGTTTCAAAGTTTCCACCAGCCTCTGCAGCTAAATCCACAACAACTGAACCTTCCTTCATTGACTCGATCATTTCTCTACTAAATAAAACCGGAGCTTTTTTACCTAATAAAACCAAAGAAAACAGTACAAATTACATCATACTTTTTTAAAACTATATTCTGAGTATTACAGTCGTCTCTGGGCACTCAGGAACTCAGCATCTGAAATTTAAACTCCTGCAAGAGACCCCTAAAGTCCATGCCACAGGTGAGAGTGGTCAATCTTAAGGAAGCATAGGACGTGAGCTGCAAAGCCAGGGCGGGGATGGAGCCGATCGCTCAGCATTGAAATCCCAGCACTGCTCTTCCCAAAGGGTTTACCTCCAGGACCACTCATGAGAGAGAAACATTTTGCTTGGTTTGGTTTAAAAAAAAAAAAAAAAAAAAGCAGCATAATAATAAGCTATTAAGGAAACTCTGTGCTCCCAAAATGGACAATTCATGAAAGTCACAAATGTCAAGGAAATATTCGATAGTAATATATGAGTTACAAAACAGAAGCTTCCTAATCATTTTAGCAAACATCACCAGGTATTCCTGCATGTTCTATTAATCTATCTTAATTTAAAACAGGATAACTCTGAGGGGATCAAGAAAGTGCCATGGATGCATGAAGCTGATTTAGGCAGCCCTGTGGTGCACCAACACAACCTCTCCATCTCAGTAGAAAAAGACCGCGGAGGCTAAGAGGGCTGTGTCCAGAAATGCAGAGATCCTGACCCAAGCTAAAGTCAAGCAGAGTACTTTTTTTTTCATGGGAAACCAAAAAAAAAAAAAAAAAAAAAATCAAATGACCTTTATTATACAAATACATTTATACTTACATGTTGCCTAAAAACAGGTGGTTAAACCCCAAAAGACCCACAAATTTATCTGGTGGGCAAATGGTGACTCAAGCAAAGTACTTTCTATGTGAGCTCCACCCCTGGAAGCAGAGGAAAATGTTCTCTGTATAATTAATTACTTGTCTAAGGAACCACAGAAAAAGCCAGGCCAACAAAAGCTTGGTTTTCACAAACCAAAGGCCTTGAGATATTCCTCAATGTACTAATGCCTACGAAACACATTGGTCAACAGCATATTTTAGCAGATTGGAGAAATCCCTAATGAGCTATTTAAAGAAGAAATCTAAAAACAATCTTTTACCTAATAATTAAAGAACATACTTATTTAAAAAATTTTAAGGATTATGTTAATAATTTACCTCTCATAGCAGCAAATTTCCATGTAGCTAAAAGTCAAAATTTTACCACAACTCTATAAGCTATGGAAATTCTCACAAAACAATCTCACACTTGAATGATAGCATAAATAAGAAAATATATAATATTCTCATATAAATTATAACATGTGTGCCTTCCAATACATGTTAGATGTACATTAGCTACCAAAATCCCTAAAACATTAATCAGTGAGTATTTATTACACATTCTGATTTTACCAGTTAATACAAAATGATTTAAAGGTTATCTTTAAAAACAGAAATAATACTGTTTATTTCTCAAGCCATTCAACTTAGCTCAGAACAAGGCTAATTCATAAAAGAGCCTCAGTGGTTCAGCCGGCGTGGCTCAGTGGTTGAGTGTCAACCTATGACCAGGAGGTCATAGTTTAATTCCCAGTCAGGGCAATCGAACCCAGGCCTGGGTTGTGGGCAGGATCCCCAATACGGGGCATGAAGGAGGCAGCCAATCGATGATTCTCTCTCATCACTGATGTTTCTGTCTCTCTCTCCCTCTCCCTTCCTCTCTGAAATCAATAAAAACATTTTTTTTAAAGAAAGAGCCTCAATGAAATGGTTATCTTCATAAAATTCAGGTAAAACACAGGTCAGCCGTGTTTCTCCTCAGGGAGACCCACGCCAGATCACCTTCCATGGGTGCTGGCCCCTCACCCTCACGAGTACGTCCAGAGCCTGACACCCTCAGAGACCACCTTCGACATTCCACACAGTCCTTGAGAACATCTGGCTTCCTACTGCAGACGTCGCTGAGCATTTCAGTCCCGAGTACGGTTCGCAAGACCAGGGGTCACCAATGGAAGAGAAGGGAACTGGGCTAATAGTCTACAGGCCAGACCCTACAGGGGTGTTTCCTACATCTAGTCCTCAAGTAACTCTGCAAGGTAGACATTTTTACCCGCTTTCAGAGATGAGGAATCTGAGAGGCACATCCGCTGTTAAGCGGTGGTACCGGGAATCTCAATCTACTCATCTGTCTGAGTCAGGATCTGACCCCCAGTGAACAAATGAAATGCGACCAGATAAAATGACAGAGTGGGGAGGAGGAAAAAGGCTGTCAGCTGCTCAGCAAATTCACAGTTCTTATGGGCTGAACTGTGCCCCTGGAAAATTCATGGTTTTGTTTTTAAATTTTTTGTGTGTGTGTGTTAATTTAAGTAGAGTTGGATTTTGTTCTAGTAGCCCTGGAAGGCTAATAAAGTGTTCTCTTCTTACCGAGCACACAGCTAGGCGACAATCCCCAGCTTCCCTCACAGTTAGATTTGGCCACATGACTAACTCTTAGCAAAAGAAATGTGAGCAGGACCGGTGTGCACCACTGCCAGGGTGATATCCTGCACCTAGAAGGGTTCAGGAATCTGGAGAAGGGGCTGCGACATAAATTAAATAAACTAGATATGAAATATAAATTTGGAATACATGGGAGAGCCAGGTGGAGTTCAGCTTTTAGGAACTAAGCTCTCTCTGAATCTCCGGACCCAGGGCTTTTTATTCACGCATTTTTGCCCTAAAGCAAAGCAAATACACATATCAAAGGTAAAGTTTGGTAAGCAGTAAAGTATCAGGTTGTTCATCTGTTTGGCCAGCAGCAGGTAATAACATGTAGATTTTCAGGTGTGGGGAAATGCCCTCAGCTGTCTGACAGCAGGCAAGAATATGTATCTTCAGCCCTGCTGAAGCCTCAAGGTTCACCAATCTTTTGATGAACTTCTTGCATTTGTGACCTGTTGGATTTAGCCCCCAGCACGCCACGGCTAGGCCTCCCACACACACTCCTCTGCGTCCCTTTCCTCGGCTGGCTGGAACAGAGACAGCGCCCAGAGTGACCTGCACAGCTTCATGACGGTGATGGCCACATTGTCACGCCTGAATCCCCCAGGGGACCACATGAAGGAGAGCTCCCCACCGATGTGTCAACCATCCACCACTGTGAACTCAGCAAGAAGCACACTTCTAGAATGTCTGAGCCATTACACACTTTGGGGTTAAGTCGTTATGCAGCTAGACCACGCTAACTGCTACTAAGCACAAGAAAGGATGGGGCAAGGCGGATGCAGGAGATGCAGAAATGCCCAGGGTGGGAAGTTCTCATTGTTAGCTCTAGCAGGGGCTGCTTCACCTAAGACAGCCTCCGCCTCCCCACCCTTTTCCACCCGGGGACTGCCCGCAGGGAGCACAGGGCTTCCCAATGTTGCAACATACTTTTGGACAAATAACAGACTAAACCAGAATACAGTTCTGTAGCGCACATTTTCCTAACAGAACATTTGTTAAATTTAGCCCAGTCTCTCACTAAATGTGCTCAAACACACTCTAAGAAGACAAGACTGATGAATGGAAACAGAAAACAGCCCATTCTGGCACCCTCCTCTCGATGACAAGTCGCCCTGTGGGTGTTGAAATCTACCAAGAGGTGCGTAGACAGCCAGTGATTACCAACCCTTGGTAACGATGTTGCAACATGTAAGTATTTCTCTCTGCCCTTCACAATTCTCAAAACCAAGGAAACTTTGTAAATGTAATATTATCAAATTCTACACAACTATTCTATACAATAATATATTTAAGGAAGAGGAGGATGGTAAATGAATCTGATTACTCAGTAAAAAAAAAAAAGTTAGGCCCAGGTGGTGTAGCTCAGTTGGTTAAAGTGTCATCAGGATACCAAGGTTGTATGTTCAATTCCCAGTCAGGGCACATTAAATAAGTGCAACAACAAATCAATGTCTGTCTCTCTCTCTCTCTCTCTCTCTCTCTCTCTCTCTCTCTCTCATCATTTTTTTAAGTTAAATAATTCAACTAAGCTGGAAATCACTGCTCTATATAGTTTTGTCCTGGAAGATCTTAATGCTTGCAGAAGAAAGAACAGAGTCATCTGAAAAATAAACCTTTACTTTAGAGCGGGGGTGGGGAACGTCCAGCCTGAGGGCCATATAGGGCCCTGGAAATCATTGGGTCTGGCCCTGCCAAGGCATTAAGGGTGAATGAATTGAATGTTTGACCAAATAGAGCAAGCTAACTGTTAAGTTGGTAATTCTGTATGGCCCACAAAGGATGTTATAAATCTCCAAATGGCCATTGTCAGAAAGAAGGTTCCCCACCCCTGCTTTAAGGGAAAACTTTGCTCAGTCATCAAAACAAAATTATCTTCATGGAATTTCAAAAATGGAGAGTGCATCGCTGTAACCCTTCTCTTGTCTGAAAGAACAAGTTTGAGAAATCAATGTGGAAAGTTCTTCTTTTGTGCTATATTTCTACTCCACGTAAACGACATGGCCGCATCACTAGAGAGCCCATGCTGGTTTTCAGGAGAGCTCTCTCAGAGAGCTCCTAAATAGTCCAAGAAATCTTGGGAGTGGGGGAGTTGGAGATATCACACTCCCTGATTTCCAACTATAACACAAAGCTATAATAATCAAAACATGAGGTACTGGCACAAAAACAGATGCATAGATCAACTGAACAGAATAGAGATCCCAACTTATAAGGTCAATTAATCTATAACAAAGGAGGCAAAAATATACAATGGAGAAATAACAATCTCTTCAACAGTGGTGCTGGGAAAAGTGGATACATAAAAAACCATGAAACTAAACCACTATCCCACACCATACACAAAAACAAACTCAAAACAGGCTAAAGACTTAAATGTAAGACCTGCAAATATAAAACTCCTCGAAGAAAACACAGGTAATAAACTATTTGACATCAGTCTCAGTAATATCTTTCGGGTGTGTCCCCTCGGGCAGGGGAAACAAAAGCAAAATAAACAAACAGGACTTCATCAAATCAAAAAGCTGTGCACAGTAAAACCATCAACAAAA